GAATTAAAAGCATTCCAAAAACTGTTCTGGGGCAAGAAAATTCAATTTTGAAGATGGAAGTTAAAATTGGGATTTGGGTTAACCCACCATTGATTTGAGAATCATGGGGGTAAACTCCAACCTTGCGAGAAACACTCTTATAATCTTGAATCAGGACAAATGATCAGAATTTTTTTTAAAAACGTCTCAAGATATGTTATTAGAAAATAACTAACTCCTCTCTCCTTCCCTCCTCATAGAGCTTGCTGAACAGCTGCAAAATTTTTCTTCCTATAAGTTCTCGGCGCGTATTTTAAAAAAGCATCTTTTCAAATCAGAAAAATTAAAGCCGAAGTTAACAAAAACATCCCCAGCAAAAGTGAGTGTCCTAAGAGGCGATCATGTTAATAACATGTTGAACAACTATGCTCATTAGACAAACAATTAAATAATCTTTTATAACCAAAAAAGCTGATCCGAAAGACTGCTCGTATATAACCAAAAAGACTTCAGGCCAAAGCGCCGAAGGATTCCACTGCCATTAAATTGGTCTGGAAAATTTTTTGGTTAATAAAGTAATGGCAAAACTATGAATTTTAGGCTAATCATATCGTGTCAAGTTGAAAAATTTAAGTGTTTCAATTTGAATCATGTATGGAATTCATTAGCTGCCCGCACATAATTCACCGCGCGCATTAACTAAAAATTGAGCAGTTTAGACAGACTCGTGACAAATTATTATAGTGGTTAACACACTCGGCTGCGCCAAAGCAGATCAAGAGATCGAGAGATCAAGAGATATATGTTCTTCACTTTCCTAGGAAGCCGGAACAGAAAGACTATTTGTAACAGTGTAAAGCCCTGAAGGTTCCCAATCAGGGGCGGATCTAGGATTTTCTCGAGGCAGGGGCGGACTTTCAAAAAATTGAAAAAATCGTTGAATTTTTTTAGGTCAATAAAATAATTTTCTGAGCTCTCCCAAATCACCATGATGACCCTATTTTGACCAAATTATCTGGGCTGCAGGCAACGTTCGAAGAAAAACAGGTCAAAAAGGCGTTTTTGGGCCTTTTTTGTAAAATTTGGACCAAAAATTTGAGTTTTTTTTGGTGCGCGCTCCCTCCTCTAAAGAAATATACTTTGGCGCCGATGGCGTTCTTGGAAACATTTTAGGGTCATTCAGCCAAAAATAAAAATCTCAAAATAGTACAAAAGGGGCATCCTTTGAAGGAGCAGGGGGTTGAAATCTTGTTTTCTGTTTTCAGGCTGATAATATCAAACTTTAAGTGTTTAAACTGAGTCTTATAGGAAAACAAAACTGCTCGTATCAGGGCTAAACCCTGAATGTTCCGACTGCCTTTTAAGGTTTTATGGAGCAGTAAAAACATTTAAAAAAATAAATGAAATAAAAAAAAACGAAACTTTTTTTTTCTAAAACTTTTTAATGAAAATCATCACCCCACACGCCATATAAAGTACAAAAAGATAGATTTCGCTCCTTGTAACAAATCAATTATGGCAATTTTGTCAAAAATGGTTAGTTAAAAAGTCGAAATTTGTCTGAAGAAAAAAAACCCACCCCGAGCACAAATATTCCGTTACTTTCGTATCGAAAGTCGGAACAATAATTAGACAAGTTAGCTTGCCTCAATTCCATTAGAAACAATTTTGTGGTGCAGAACAATTCAACAGGCGTAAATATTTTGTTTGAAGTTTTCGGCCTAAAATGATCAACGAAGTATAAAACGATCAGTTTTTAGGACTCGATTTATATTGAACCACCAGTTACGCTAACATAGTGGTGTGCGCGCACGGCAGGGGTCCAGGTAGTTCAAGGTTTGGAGACACCAAATGATCCAAAAAGGTCTGAGTACAAAAAACACCCCAGGCTTATACCTTCCTCATTTTCTTCGAAAGTCAACAAAAAGCAAGTTACGACACTTGGTCAAAAAAATGATATGAACGTGATTAACTTTCGGCTTTGTTTTGGTTTTGTTCTGACCTCAAATAAAGAGCTTTGGGGTCAAATGTCAAAAAATTTAAAAAATTTTTTCGGCCGTGCTTCGGCCTCCAAAAAAAAGCAACAAACTGAAATGTCTACGTATTTCTCATTAGTTTTACCTATTTTCACTTGTCATTTTCGCAAGTTTTACCAAACTGACTATCAAGAAAAAAAAACATATTTTTAAAACATAAATAATTTTTTTTTGGTTTTTACGATTCTTTTTTAATTGTTTTTGCAATCGATGAACATTTTGCGCTACTTTCAGAGCAACCAGCTAAATTTGTTCCATCATAAATAATGTCGACAGTTTTGAGGTAAGATGCGTTTTTTCGATGAATTATTGGAGAAATAAAAACGGCCTTCAAAATCAGGAGCCAATACATATGTAGTTTTCGCCGCAGGAAAGAAAAGAATTTAGAAAAAAATTTGAATACTTACCTTTTAATCCGGTGTATTAGCACAAAACAAAAGGGTGCGTTCACTTAACCAAATAATCTACCTAAGCTACATAATCAGCAAAGCAAACCAGCAGCGTTAACACTTGTTTCAGTAGCATAAACTAACAAGACTGCTCGTATCAGGGCGAGGCCTTGAATGTTCCGACTGCCTCTTAAGGTCTATGGAGCAGTAATAACATGGAAAGATTAAATGAAATAAAACAAAATGAAAAAATTGTTTCCTAAAATTTGATTTTTTTTTAATGAAAATCATCCCCCCACTCGCCATATAAAGTACAAAAGGATAGATATCGCTCCTTGTAACAAATAAATTATGGCAATTTTGTCAAAAATGGTTAGTTAAAAAGTCGAAATTTGTCTGAAGAAAAAAAACCCACCCCGAGCACAAATATTCCGTTACTTTCGTATCGAAAGTCGGAACAATAATTAGACAAGTTAGCTTGCCTCAATTCCATTAGAAACAATTTTGTGGTGCAGAATAATTCAACAGGCGTAAATATTTCGTTTGAAGTTTTCGGCCTAAAATGATCAACGAAGTATAAAACGATCAGTTTTTAAGACTCGATTTATATTGAACCACCAGTTACGCTAACATAGTGGTGTGCGCGCACGGCAGGGGTCCAGGTAGTTCAAGGTTTGGAGACACCAAATGATCCAAAAAGTTCTGAGTACAAAAAACACCCCAGGCTTATACCTTCCTCATTTTCTTCGAAAGTCAACAAAAAGCAAGTTACGACACTTGGTCAAAAAAATGATATGAACGTGATTAACTTTCGGCTTTGTTTTGGTTTTGTTCTGACCTCAAATAAAGAGCTTTGGGGTCAAGTGTCAAAAAATTTAAAAAATTTTTTCGGCCGTGCTTCGGCCTCCAAAAAAAGCAACAAACTGAAATGTCTACGTATTTCTCATTAGTTTTACCTATTTTCACTTGTCATTTTCGCAAGTTTTACCAAACTGACTATCAAGAAAAAAAAACATATTTTAAAAACATAATTGATTTTTTTTTGGTTTTTACGATTCTTTTTTAATTCTTTTTGCAATCGATGAACATTTTGCGCTACTTTCAGAGCAACCAGCTAAATTTGTTCCATCATAAATAATGTCGACAGTTTTGAGGTAAGTTGCGTTTTTTCGATGAATTATTGGAGAAATAAAAACGGCCTTCAAAATCAGGAGCCGATACATATGTAGTTTTCGCCGCAGGAAAGAAAAGAATTTAGAAAAAAATTTGAATACTTACCTTTTAATCCGGTGTATTAGCACAAAACAAAAGGGTGCGTTCACTTAACCAAATAATCTACCTAAGCTACATAATCAGCAAAGCAAACCAGCAGCGTTAACACTTGTTTCAGTAGCATAAACTAACAAGACTGCTCGTATCAGGGCGAGGCCTTGAATGTTCCGACTGCCTCTTAAGGTCTATGGAGCAGTAATAACATGGAAAGATTAAATGAAATAAAACAAAATGAAAAAATTGTTTCCTAAAATTTGATTTTTTTTTAAATGAAAATCATCCCCCCACTCGCCATATAAAGTACAAAAGGATAGATATCGCTCCTTGTAACAAATAAATTATGGCAAATAAGCTATTTTCAACCAATTTGGAACAATTTCTAACACGGATTAAATCTCCGCTTACGCGTTAATAACGCGAAATTTATCGCGCGTTAATTGTCCCAAGTTGGCCAAAATGGCAATCTTTAAACCCCCATAACGTTACGAAAACCGATCGCAGGTGAAATATCTTTTCAAATTTGAGATCAAGACAACAATACCTTTCCAATGATATAAAAAGAGTCCGTCAAAAATGGCGAGTTAAAAAGTCGAAATTTGTCTGAAAAAAAACCCATCCCTCTCACAAATACAGTGCTGATTTAAATTGACCGGACAAAACGCGTTAAACTTGAAAAATAAAACCCGTTTTTCTCAAATTGGGTTGAGTTTAGGTGAAAACTTATGAAGACAAAACTTGCTCAAAATTTTAGCAGAATTAATATGGCGTAATTTGTTTTGCAAAATTCGGGCCCAAAATTTTACCCCAAAAATAGCTCATTTTGGCTTTTCTTAGTTAATCAAAAATTACGCCAAAAATACGGAGTCGATCATAGACATAATTATATCAAAGTGAGCCCCTTACGTAGCCCAAAAAATTTTAAGAAGGGTATTTTCTTTAAAAAAAATTGCAAATTGTTTAAAAATTGTTTTTAAACAAAAAGTTGGTATTTTATATAGTAAAAACTACCTTTTTTGCCTATCAAACAAAAATAAAATGTTTTATACAATTTTTTAGAGGTTATGTTCTTCTTACAGTATAAGGCCCGAATTTTGCAAAACAAATTACGCCATATTAATTCTGCTAAAATGTTAAGCAAGATTTGTCTTCATAAGTTTTCACCTAAACTCAACCCAATTTGAAAAAAAAAACGCGTTTTAAATTTCAGGTTTAACGCGTTTTGTCCGGTTAATTTAAATCAGCACTGTATTCCGTTACTTTCGTATCGAAAGTCGGAACAATAACTATCTGATTGAGAAACAATAAAAGAGAAAAAGTTGCATACATGCTGGGTTTTCCATTTTCCAGAATGAGGAAGTTGTGCAACTCTTTGAGGCTCCTGAGCACTATGATGTCCAGATCGAGGTAGAATCCCCCGTACTTGTAAGCCAGAGCCAGTCTGGCTATGTCACTTGTGTGCACCATCTGATGGCCAACCACTCGTGCTACGCGCTCCTAAACACAAATGACACGCGCTCCTACAAATGGTGAGCATTTTGAAAAAACTGCCGTTTTGATAATTTCGAGAATTGCAGAGCTATAGAATGACCGTATCTGGTAAAATATTTGTGACCAAGTTAAAATCCCCTAAGTTAAAAGCCGTTGGGGGGGGGGGGGGGAGGGAGGATGTTGACTTGGTTTTAAGTTGGGATTTTTCAGCCAATCAGAATCGAGCGTTTTACATGCATCGCTTGGCAAATTTAATTTATATTAAGCGCTGGGGTGGAGGAGGAGCTTAACTTGGTTTATTTTTTTTGGGGGGGGGGAAGGATGTTAATTTGATCCAATGTTTGAAAAATGTCCTAAAACGCGTTTTATTTTGCGGTTTCAGCCCCACTCAAAACGAAGGTGTAACGATTAGCATGTGTGCCCATTAGCATGCGATAATAACTTTAACTGCGCGTGCTTTCAGACGAAAAACAAATTAGCTTAAAGTTTCAAATAATTTCGAAAATCTTTTGATTTGTAAGGGGAGTTTTTATTTCACTTTCACCTATTTAAAAATTCAGCTGTTCTAAATTTCAAATTTGAGTAAGCAAAACGTGAAAAAGCGAATCTTCAAACTATATTTTTTTACATGGGCATGCTATTCGACGCACATGCTGATAGGCCGGTCCCCCAGTTGCTCAACGTGACAATAGTTTTTCTGAAAAATTAACATGCGTTTTTTCGAAATTGCAAAGGGTCTGTTTAAAAAACTGAGACGAAACAGTTTTAAAAGCGGCAATTCAATTAGGCTCTTTTCTATTTTCCCCACCTGCAAATTCGTTCACGTTATCTAAATGTTACGAAAATTGGCACGCGTACTAATTAGGCCATGACAAACATATTTGGTCTTCATATTTAACTTTTTAAAACCCCTCGTTACACCATAAAAATGATGCTTATGTGAGGTGGGGGACAAGGAAAAAGAGCCTTCAATTACCCAAGTATAATGCGACACTTTACCTCCAAGCCTTCCGCTGGCGTGTCACGAAGCAAACCCTTGAAATCCAGTGCGTAAAAACCGACATTGTCGTAAGAGTAGAAAATATGGCACAAACTCCGACTTTTCGACAAGTCCAAAACTGGCGATTTCAAAATTATTTTTAGCTTCAATTCCGACATTAACGCAGCAGATTCAATTGAACACATTTGACGCCCTTTTATGAAAGTCCTTCCAGAAGTTTCTAGAAAAAATAACTGGTTGGACTCCGAGTCTTCGTGAGTAAATTTCGACAATGTGATGTTTTTGTCGCATTTATAATACGATCGGGCAAATTTTTTGATCCGTGTTGGAATAGGGTCGAAGTCATGAGCAGATCTGTTTGGGTTTAAGTTGGGCAAATACTGAAAGGGTTGATTTTTCTCCAACGCGTCATTTATCAGAAGCATGGATGTCAACACTAAACAAACTGATAAGGCTATAAATGCATGTGATTGTCTGATAGCTGGAAAAATAGTCTGTTGGTAGAGTTTTATGGGCGGAGAGTAAAGCATAATTGGTAAGTTTTTGATAACTTTAATCAAATAACACTATCTAATAACAACATAAACTAATTCAACTTTCAATTGAAATTATTTAGAAAAAAAAGTTCGTAATATTTAAGTTGCAAAACTTCGAATGTATAGTTTGTAGTTTTATCGGACGTCTTAACGTTTTGAAATAATTTTGCCCTTGAGACAGTGAAATGGCGTTGAGATTGCAAGCATTTTTTTCAAGTTGCGTTTGAACTGTCAAAAGAGCAGTGCAAAACGATTGCGCTTTTTCAGAGACGGCAGTTTTTTTGAATCACTTAAAGCCCATAACTTCAGAACAATTTCCAATGACCAGCGATTGATCATGCAACTTTCAATGAGAACTAGCACATAAAACGCCGGCCAAAAATTCCTCCCGCCCCCTATTTCGATTTTCAGAAATTCAAATTTGGCGGCCCAATTTTCAATAGTTAAAACCATTCAAAATTTTCAAAAAATATTTATATTTAAAATTTTTTACGAGGGTAGTATATAGATAGTGAGTAAAACAAATACGAACGCGCAAAAATGAAAACCCACTAAATTGTTGACATTTCTGAAATGCATATTTTATACAGAAATGGTTGTCAAAAATAAAACATGCATGGGGGAATAGTTAACAAGGTCCAAAGGGGGGGGGGGGGGGATAGTTAACAAGATCCTCGAACTCATTTTAGCATGAAGGTCAAAATTATTTCAAAATTTTCAAACGTTGTCCGATAAATTGGTTTAAAACGATAATTAGTAGCAAAAAGTTTGAACAGACAGAAATAATTAAAAGAGCAATCTACCAATTTTGAGCAATTTTCGCATGCAAATTCGAATTTTAAGGTGACCTTGAGACATCCTTTCTGTCGGAAATATTAATCTTTGCATGCGAAACATTTCTGAAAATGTCTGTTGTTCTTTTTAATTAATTTTGTCTGTTCCAGCTTTTTGCGACTCTAAAGACTGAATTAACTAAAAAGAGCAGTATTCTCAGTATTCTGTTGGTTTTGATTCAATTTTGCCTGCAGTTGTGTATATTTTCATATACTTTCAGACATACTTTTAGTCTGAAAAATTGGCTTTTCTCGGAACTAAATTTTGTCAAATAAGTCAATTGCTCTCTTCAATTAGCTATGTCCTATGCTAAATTTTGCAACTCAGTGTAGTTGATTCAAAGTTCGAGAAGTTAATTTGTCATAAGTACTTCGACTAATGATTTGACCACAAACAAAGGGTGCTAGATAAATAAGACGACAGGCCATTAAGACGTCAAGACATTAAGACGACAAATAAGAGTTAATGCATGTAAAATGAGCAGTTCGAATTTAAGCGTTTAAACTTCTCAAAAATACAATGTCGAGAATTAAAATCCCGTCAAAAACTATTGTCGTCTTAACTGTTGTCGTCCTATTTTCCGGTCACCCAAACAAAGAACAAGAATCAAGAAGTTGCATCGAAGTTTTGGAGCGATGAGTGATCTTTATTTGATTATTTAAACAAATATTTGTCCTTTCATGTTGTCTGTTTTCACCCAAAGTAAGTTTACCCAAGTTTGATAAAGAATGATTTCAAATGCTCCGCTTTTTGAGCCAAAATGCGCAGACTTTAAAACTGTGTAGTGATTTACGTTGAAACGGAATCAGCTGTTTTCATATAGAAGGTGCGCTTTTAGAGCTTGAATGTAAATTAATAGCAAGAAGTTCATTTATTATTAATTCACGTTGAAAAAATTGGAAAAATGATCTAGTATATAATGCGAGTATTATGAGTGTACTTAAACCATTAGACTAGCTTATTTTTCCTTCCCAAAATGCGGAAAGGATAGTAAAATTTTTTAAAAGTTGGTTAAGAATTTTTAAAATAGCCCATTCGTAAGGGACAACTTTGCTCAAAAAATATGGGTTCAGTATGTCAAACATCCGAAAAACCAAAAAGTTTTTGTGTTGCAAACATACGAAAAACATGTTTAATACTGCAAACATCAGACTTTTTCAAAAAGAATGTCAAATACTTGATTTCTAGTGTTCGCCTAATAGATGTATTTTTGGCCGAATTAAAAACGGCCACCGCAGTCACGGCACAAAAGTGTGAGCTTGCAGATAGAGGGTATGGTATGACTCTATATGGAATTAGGAGCCGGCGACATTAACCCGAGAGTTGGCTAAATTGGAATAGGCTTATTGAACTACGTCTTGTGTTTAAACTTCTAACGTCATGGTATAAGTTTATCGTTCAAAGTGGGGAAAAAATTTGCCTTCGAGTGTGTACTAGTTTCTTGTTTCTGTTTTTTTTTTATTTTTTTTTGTACAACAAATCAAATAATCATTGAAGTGGCTCGAGTGATAGATCAATTTGCAGATCTTTCCGTCGTTATTCGAGTGATATTTAAAACAATTCAAAAAAAATTCCCGGCAATGACATAAATTTGAGTTTTAGCTTTAGTTCGAAGTTTAAGAAGTAAAAAAAAAAATTGAAACTGTTTTGCGAAAAAAGTAAAATATTTTGAACCTTTTTTGTTTGTTATTCAAATATCATATGCAATTTGTGGATTTCCATCCCAGCGCGCTAAAATGACACTAATTTGAAAAATAAAAGAAAATTTTTAGGAAGCTGATCGGAGCATTCTGTAAAATACTTGCACAGCAATCGACAATCCTTGTTTTTATTCCAGTTGGGAAGTTTCACGTATCGGATGTTCTTCTTAGACATAAAGCAGTCAAAATTTACTGAATCAAGACCAACTAGATCTCTATCCGACCGGCTTTTTTCCTATTTATTCATTCTATGTGGTCTATGCGTGAAATTGAATTTAGTTGTTTTTTTTTGGAATTGGAAGCCATGGAGCTCGGTTGATCTTTAAAGGCCACCAGCTAAAGTTATAGAGCCTGTTCTCTTTGTGAGTTTATCTGTCGACTGTTTGCAGTTCTGAATAACAGTCTGCAGTATATTTTGTTGTCGTAACTTTTTCGAGTGCATTACGGATAGCAGTGTAGTCATACCTACTCTTATACCATCAAAAATTGTATGGATAATAGCATAATCTTATGACATAAAGCAATCAGCAAACCAAAAACGATGAGCTCCCAACCAGTTTGGCGCAAGCGCACAGAAGAGCAACCATTTGAATGCTTAGAATGGGTGATACGGTTGCAAATGGCAAAATTTGCCCTAAAAGCCTTCAAAGAACAATAGCAAAACAGACAAACTACACCTCGCAGACCAGTTTCTTCAAAGCTAGAGGAAGATATAGGAGTCCTTACAAAAGAACAAACGAGAGACCGGGAATACAAAAATCAAGAGGAAAAAGTCAATCAGAATAAAAAAACAGTGAGTACATGAGTAATATGTGGTACCATCCCGTGAGACATCAAAAATACAACGCAGTATCTAGCAAAGAAGACCGGACCTAGATTTATAAAAGAATATCAACGAAGACCTGTGAAAAGAAATCTAAGACACTTTTTTGTGGCAAAAAGATTTATTACAATTGAAAGGCAAATTGTTAGTAAAAGAGTTTAGTAAAAAAATAAATCACTCAAACAATTACATTCTGAGTTGGTCGAATTGGCATCAAAAACGGACTGCCGAGACTGGGAAGAAGATTAGCTGCAATATTCAATCACGGTAAAAACAACGAAAAATATAACTTGGAGGAATTTCTTGCAGAAACGAGAACACAAAAGAAGCATACAAATATGCAATAAGTAGAGAAAAGAGATAGAACATATTGCAACAATCAAACATCATTGCCAAGGACATGCCAGTATACCTGTTTTTTTTTTGGTTTTATTATCAAATTCAGGTTACAAAAAAAATTTTAAAAAAAATTTGAACAGGGTCAAGTGATACAAAGTTTTGCAGCTCTTTCAGTCGTTTTTCGATTAATATTTGAAACAAATTCGAGAAAAAACCGCGGTAATGACAAAAATGTGAGTTTTTTAAATTAAAATCAAAAAACGAGGTCTTAAATGATTATTTTTTTAAGCAGTCAGAAATTCAAATTCAATACATGGAAACTTGTTTTGGAATCTTTATCTAGCTTTTTTTTTAATAAAAAAATTTAAACCTGATCTACAAAAAAATTTATATCAATTTGAAAAAGTTTTTGCTTCTTATACAATTTTCAGAGACAATTTGTGGACTTCCATCCCATTGTGCAAAATGACCTTACATTGGAGCGAACTATTCAAGCGTGGCTCACAATCGTTCCAAATGTTCCAGTGTCAGGTTAAAATAACGAGAGTTGCGAAGACGACAACTTTTTTTGATTATATTAAATGCACATTGAAATAGGAAGCTAATTAATTAACCTTTGCATTTCTAAGACAAAAAAAACAGATAAAGTTTAAACAATCAGGTAAGCGCGTTGTCGCATGAATATGCTCATCCGCTATTGGCTAATTTGACTTCAAAGTGTACTTCTTTTTTTGCTTTAAATTAGTCTCTTTTGAGATTGAAGTTGAGTCGGGATTATAAATCTAATTTTTGTCTGATTGAAGTAATCAAAGTTTAAAAAATGAAAAATCATTTTTTTTACCTTGTCATCTGAACATCTTCGGGTCTTTTTACCAATTCCACCCAAAAGTCAATACTTTAACGTCTTTAAATGACACTATTTTGCTTCAATTTGATTGGTTAAAATTAGCCAATTAAATTTCAACAGCATTTCAAAAAATTTCGTTCACAGTTTTAAGTCGACTTATAAATAAGCCGAATTAGCCAAAAATAAAAATTATTCGGAAAGCTGTTTGAGGTTGTTTCAAATAACTTCTAGAGATTTAACCAGACCAGAAAAAAACACAAGAAGAGTTCACTTACAAGATATTCAGACGACAAAAATAAATCAAAAAATGACTTTTTTGTTTTATTTAAGCTTTGATTACTTCAATTAGGCAAAAATTAGAATGAAATTCCGACTCAACTTTCATCTCAATTTTGACTACATTCGGAGCTAGAAAAAAAAGGGAAACAACTGCTAAAAACAACACGACAAGACACTAGAAATCGTGTTTTTAGCAGCTGTTTCGCTACATCACTCAAAATGTAGAAATTATTATTTGAAATTGGTTGTTCTGAGATGAAAAAGAATTCTAAAAGTTTTTGGGGTCCACTCAACTCTGTGTTTTTCACTGGGATTTTAACTATATGTGTCTTGTACATAATACAATTTCAGAAAATAAAAAGAAAAATCCATGCTAAAAAGTTGAAAATCTCTAAATGCTAAGCGCTAAAAAGTTTTCGATATTATATAAATTTACTCGATGAATCAATAGAGTTGATTACAAAGAATTATCATTGCAGTTATTCACAGCTTTGCTTTGTCGAAAAAAAATTCCGAACCAAAACTTTCTCTTAGCAAAGAACAAACTCTCCTAACCAGTAGCGGATTTAGGGGAGGGGCGGACGATACCCCTCCTCAGGTATTCGACCCCTGCCGACCCAACGGGCCCCCTTTACGCTTTTTTGGCCTGTTTTTTCACAAAGATGCCTGCAGCGCAGAAAGTTTTGTCAAATTAGGGTCCTTATAGTGATTTGGGAGAACTCAGAAAATCATTTGGTCGACCTAAAAAAACAAAAGGTCGACAAAAGCTTCATTTTTTTTGAAAATCCGCCCCCCCCCCAGAGAAATTCCTAGATCCGCGCCTGCTCCTAACGGAGATTAAAATTACAATCTATAGACCTGAAGTCACACATTTATTCTCAATTGTTTTAGGACACGGGAGTTTTGAGAGCTTCCGTCATTGATTGATCAACTGTTCGTAACTGTTTTCAACTCACACATCTTAATTTTTTGAAGAAAAAAAATATTTCTGGACGTACGTAATTGTGACCTTACGAATTAATGAGACTGTTAAAGAAAATCGATGGTAAGTGCAATTACAGCAAAAAAAGGTTAGAAAACAGCAGTCTCACAAATTCACCAAAAGCTATTTTATTTTTTCCTTCAAAAAGTCAAAAACTACGTGCTTGCCTTTTTTGGAACTATAAGACGAATTAATCAAAAATTGTAACAAAAAGTTTATCAAAGACAAATAAATTTTCAAAAAATTTTTCCCTGTCTATTAGAAAAACATGCATGCCAATTGTCACACGTTAATGTATTCCTCTCCATATCAAAAAGATACGGGATATTCACTACTGATCCGTTGTTTTTGGATTTTATAATCATTCACTAAGTTCATTTTTTTCTATTTCTATGTGCATCTTTTTTACAGCTTTTACAAATGACTCATTTTTGCCGCCTCAGTTGAAAATTCGTAATGCGAAAACAGCTCAAAATGTTGGTTGTAATCTCAGTATGGATTTATGATGTTTGTTTTGTTCATTCAAAGTTAGTTTTTAGTCCGCTTTTTTCAGTTTCATGCAGTTTTTGATGCCAGATGGTATATGCAATAGAGATAGATATATGCAACATGTTGCCTTTTAGAGTTTGCAGTTTGTGCAGGCTGACTAACCTCAAAAAATAAATTAAATACACAAGAAGTGAAAAAAGAGGATTTAATAAAATACACTTTCCTTAGTAATAACTCACTGAAAATTTGCTAAATAACTTCGCATAGAAGTTCCATAAACCACCACAAAGGTCTCTCAGTTTCATACTTTTAACGTCATCTAAACCTACAAAATGGTTAGTTTTTTTAGCTATTTTATTTAACTAACTATAGACTGGGTAGAGCGTTGGGCGCAAGTATCAGCGTCCTGGAATTCATTTCATTTTCAGCGTCATGCAGTACATTTGAAACAGTTGTGTAAGCTAATAATTATCTTCGAATAAGCACGCAGTTTGTGTTATTTTAGGAACCTAAATAAAAAAATAAGATAAATTCAGCTCATTAAAAGAAGACGACGATGAATACTAGATGTAGATCTAATGCATATGCATTTCTAGGTTTTTTACTTGATCAAACTTATTCCTGTATCTTCCACAAAAATTCGAGGTCTTTACTGCTATGCGACCGAAAATTGTTGATTGAGTTTCCTTTTTTGGATAAAAATCTTAAATTTTTTCGAAGGAAAGTAATCTAAAATCATCATTTTCAAATATTTTGATCCAATTTTCAAAACAACAAAAAATCAGTTTTGGGCGCATAAAAGAAGAAATCCGAGATCCAATCGGGCTTTTTTATTAGTTTATGTTATTGCTTTTGTTTGTTTGTTTGTTTACTAGAGGGAAGTGATCTCAGTGCACGTGGGTCAAGCGGGAGGCCAGATGGGCAATGCGTGTTGGGAACTGTACTGTCTGGAACACGGAATACAGCCGGACGGCCAGATGCCCAGCGACAAAACCATCGGTCAGTGTCTTCTTTTACAATGAGCAACTGAAATAGTTGAACGGACAATTCAAAGGGACAAGTTTTACAAAGTAAAATGGTATAGTATCTGTAAAAAAATCTAATTCCCATTTTATGTCTAAAATTTTGGTAACATTATTTGGTCAAACTTTGAAATACCTTCATTTGTTTTTTTTTTTCATTAAATGAATGAGCATAGAAAAAAAACCAAATAAAATAATTGCTACGACATTCTATTGCTGAGTTTTTTTTTCTGCAACGATAAATTCGAAACGGCAAAAAATTAGTTTTTGGATCTCCCCTCGCATCCGCATATGCTTAACTATTGGTTTATTTCTTTATAGGGGTCGTTATTCTTTCTTAGGTGCACTTGTCTATAAGGGGGGGGTTGTGGATAAAGCGATCTTATTTTTTTTCCAAAAACTGTTTATTCCAACATTAGGCTGTGGGGATGACTCGTTCAACACGTTCTTCTCCGAGACCAGTTCGGGCAAGCATGTACCACGTGCCATCTTCGTGGACTTGGAACCCAGTGTGGTGGACATGGTGCGGACAGGGAAGTACAGACAGCTGTTCCATCCGGAACAACTCATCAGTGGCAAGGAGGATGCGGCCAACAATTATGCCAGGGGTTGGTTTGTACACTTGTGATTGGCTGTCACGCAAGAAAAATAAAGCTAAAAAGGTCGCAAGTCAAAGCAAGAAAAAGTAATTAAAGCGCAGAAAGAGTTGAAACGGTCTTAAGAATGACAGGGGCTGGGGTTTTTTTTCTATTATATGGGGTATAATTCGAAGGGCAATTTGAAGATTTAAAAATAACCGTTGTCTTTTTTGAGTTACAAACTGGACGATGACCGGATTTTTTTTCGAATTTATCTAAAATAAAAGCACAAAAAAGGTTCTTTTGAAAAATATAAAAAATGTATTTTTTAATGATTTTTTAAAAATGGGCATACGTTTAAAATGTTTACAAATCTTATGAAGATAATGGCAATGTTATTTTAAATCAAATGTTCCCTTGTTCCGGGCCACTACACTGTTCCAGTGTCAGGTTAAAATAACGAGAGTTGCGAAGACGACAACTTTTTTTGATTATATTAAATGCACATTGAAATAGGAAGCTAATTAATTAACCTTTGCATTTCTAAGACAAAAAAAAACAGATAAAGTTTAAACAATCAGGTAAGCGCGTTGTCACATGAATATGCTCATCCGCTATTGGCTAATTTGACTTCAAAGTGTACTTCTTTTTTTGCTTTAAATTAGTCTCTTTTGAGATTGAAGTTGAGTCGGGATTATAAATCTAATTTTTGTCTGATTGAAGTAATCAAAGTTTAAAAAATGAAAAATCATTTTTTTTACCTTGTCATCTGAACATCTTCGGGTCTTTTTACCAATTCCGCCCAAAAGTCAATTCTTTAACGTCTTTAAATGACACTATTTTGCTTCAATTTGATTGGTTAAAATTAGCCAATTAAATTTCAACAGCATTTCAAAAAATTTCGTTCACAGTTTTAAGTCGACTTATAAATAAGCCGAATTAGCCAAAAATAAAAATTATTCGGAAAACTATTTGAGGTTGTTTCAAATAACTTCTAGAGATTTAACCAGACCAGAAAAAAACACAAGAAGAGTTCACTTACAAGATATTCAGACGACAAAAATAAATCAAAAAATGACTTTTTTGTTTTATTTAAGCTTTGATTACTTCAATTAGGCAAAAATTAGAATGAAATTCCGACTCAACTTTCATCTCAATTTTGACTACATTCGGAGCTAGAAAAAAAAGGGAAACAACTGCTAAAAACAACACGACAAGACACTAGAAATCGTGTTTTTAGCAGCTGTTTCGCTACATCACTCAAAATGTAGAAATTATGATTTGAAATTGGTTGTTCTGAGATGAAAAAGAATTGTTCAAAAAAGTTGTTGTTTTAATAACAGTTTTGATAAATTTTTTAAGTAGTGAAAATTAAAAAAAAATCATTATAGCTTATCAAAAAATTCTAAAAGTTTTTGGGGTCCACTCAACTCTGTGTTTTTCACTGGGATTTTAACTATATGTGTCTTGTACATAATACAGTTTCAGAAAATAAAAAGAAAAATCCATGCTAAAAAGTTGAAAATCTCTAAATGCTAAGCACTAAAAAGTTTTCAATATTATATAAATTTACTCGATGAATCAATAGAGTTGATTACAAAAAATTATCATTGCAGTTATTCACAGCTTTGCTTTGTCGAAAAAAAATGCCGAACCAAAACTTTCTCTTAGCAAAGAACAAACTCTCCTAACCAGTAGCGGATTTAGGGGAGGGGCGGACGATACCCCTCCTCAGGTATTCGACCCCTGCCGACCCAACGGGCCCCCTTTACGCTTTTTTGGCCTGTTTTTTCACAAAGATGCCTGCAGCGCAGAAAATTTTGTCAAATTAGGGTCCTTATAGTGATTTGGGAGAACTCAGAAAATCATTTGGTCGACCTAAAAAAACAAAAGGTCGACAAAAGCTTCATTTTTTTTGAAAATCCGCCCCCCCTTCCCCCCCCCCCCCCCCCCCCCAGAGAAATTCCTAGATCCGCGCCTGCTCCTAACGGAGATTAAAATTACAATCTATAGATCTGAAGTCACACATTTATCTTCAATTGTTTTAGGACACGGGAGTTTTGAGAGCTTCCATCATTGATTGATCAACTGTTCGTAACTGTTTTCAACTCACACATCTTAATTTTTTGAAGAAAAAAAATATTTCTGGACGTACGTAATTGTGACCTTACGAATTAATGAGACTGTTAAAGAAAATCGATGGTAAGTGCAATTACAGCAAAAAAAGGTTAGAAAACAGCAGTCTCACAAATTCACCAAAAGCTATTTTATTTTTTCCTTCAAAAAGTCAAAAACTATTACGTGCTTGCCTTTTTTGGAACTATAAGACGAATTAATCAAAAATTGTAACAAAAAGTTTATCAAGACAAATAAATTTTCAAAAATTTTTTCCCTGTCAATTAGAAAAACATCCATGCCAATTGTCACACGTTAATGTATTCCTCTCCATATCAAAAAGATACGGGATATTCACTACTGATCCGTTGTTTTTGGATTTTATAATCATTCACTAAGTTCATTTTTTTCTATTTTTATGTGCATCTTTTTTACAGCTTTTACAAATGACTCATTTTTATTGCTTCAGTGGAAAATGTGTAATGCGAAACCAGCTCAAAATGTTGGTCATAATCTCAGTATGGATTTATGATGTTTGTTTTGTTCATTCAAAGTTAGTTTTTAGTCCGCTTTTTTTTCAGTTTCATGCAGTTTTTGATGCCAGATGGTATATGCAATAGAGATAGATATATGCAACATGTTGCCTTTTAGAGTTTGCAGTTTGTGCAGGCTGACTAACCTCAAAAAATAAACTAAATACACAAAAAGTGAAAAAAGAGGATTTAATAAATTACACTTTCCTTAGTTATAACTCACTGACAAGTTGCTAAATAACTTCGCATAGAAGTTCCATAAACCACCACAAAGGTCTCTCAGTTTCATACTTTTAACGTCATCTAAACCTACAAAATGGTTAGTTTTTTTTTAAACTATTTTATTTAACTAATTATAGACTGGGTAGAGCGTGGGGCGCAAGTATCAGCGTCCTGGAATTCATTTCATTTTCAGCGTCATGCAGTACATTTGAAACAGTTGTGGAAGCTAATAATTATCTTCGAATAAGCCTGCAGTTTGTGTTATCTTAAGAACCTAAATAAAAAAATAAGATAAATTCAGCTAATAAAAAGAAGACGCCGATAAATTGTAGATGTAGATGTAATGCATATGTACTTTTAGGTTTTTAGTTGATCAAACTTATTCCTGTAGCTTCCACAAAAAATTCGAGGTCTTTACTGCTATGCGACCGAAAATTGTTGATTGAGTTTTCTTTCTTTGAATGAAAATCTTAATTATTTTCCGCAATCAGTTTAATCTTAACCAATCAGTTTGAAGCATCAGTTTTGGGCCGTATAAGAGAAAAAAACTCGAGCTCCAATTTGGCATTTATAATTGTTTATGTTATTGTTTTTGTTTGTTTGTTTACTAGAGGGAAGTGATCTCAGTGCACGTGGGCCAGGCGGGAGGTCAGATGGGGAATGCGTGTTGGGAACTGTACTGTCTGGAACACGGAATACAGCCGGACGGCCAGATGCCCAGCGACAAAACCATCGGTCAGTGTCTTTTTTACAATCAGCAACTGAAATAGTTGAACAGACAATTCAAAGGGACAAGTTTTACAAATAAAATGGCATAAGTATCTGTAAAAAAACCTAATCCCAGCTTTATGTCTAAAATTTTAGAAACATTATTTGGTCAAACTTTGAAATACCATTATTTGTTTTGTTTTTTCATTAAATGAATGAGCATAGAAAAAAAAACAAATAAAATAATTGCTACGACATTCTATTGCTGAGTTTTTGTTTTTTTTTCTGCAGCGATAAATTCGAAACGGCTTTTAAAAATTAGTTTCTGGATCTGCCCTCGAATCTGCATATGCTGAACTTTTGATTTATTTCTTTATAGGGGTCGTTATTCTTTCTTAGGTGCACTTGTCTATAAGGGGGGGGGGGTGTGAATAAAGCGATCTTATTTTTTTTCCAAAAACGGTTTATTCCAACATTAGGCTGTGGGGATGACTCGTTCAACACGTTCTTCTCCGAGACCAGTTCGGGCAAGCATGTACCACGTGCCATCTTCGTGGACTTGGAACCCAGTGTGGTGGACATGGTGCGGACAGGGAAGTACAGACAGCTGTTCCATCCGGAACAACTCATCAGTGGCAAGGAGGATGCGGCCAACAATTATGCCAGGGGTTTGTTTGTACACTTGTGATTGGCTGTCACGCAGGAAAAATAAAGCTAAAAAGGTGACAAGGCAAAGCAAGAAAAAGTAATTAAAGCGCAGAAAGAGTTGAAACGGTCTTAAGAATGACAGGGGCTGGGGTTTTTTTTCTATTATATGGGGTATAATTCGAAGGGCAATTTGAAGATTTAAAAATAACCGTTGTCTTTTTTGAGTTACAAACTGGACGATGACCGGATTTTTTTTCGAATTTATCTAAAATAAAAGCACAAAAAAGGTTCTTTTGAAAAATATAAAAAATGTATTTTTTAATGATTTTTTAAAAATGGGCATACGTTTAAAATGTTTACAAATCTTATGAAGATAATGGCAATGTTATTTTAAATCAAATGTTCCCTTGTTCCGGGCCACTACACTGTTCCAGTGTCAGGTTAAAATAACGAGAGTTGCGAAGACGACAACTTTTTTTGATTATATTAAATGCACATTGAAATAGGAAGCTAATTAATTAACCTTTGCATTTCTAAGACAAAAAAAAACAGATAAAGTTTAAACAATCAGGTAAGCGCGTTGTCACATGAATATGCTCATCCGCTATTGGCTAATTTGACTTCAAAGTGTACTTCTTTTTTTGCTTTAAATTAGTCTCTTTTGAGATTGAAGTTGAGTCGGGATTATAAATCTAATTTTTGTCTGATTGAAGTAATCAAAGTTTAAAAAATGAAAAATCATTTTTTTTACCTTGTCATCTGAACATCTTCGGGTCTTTTTACCAATTCCGCCCAAAAGTCAATTCTTTAACGTCTTTAAATGACACTATTTTGCTTCAATTTGATTGGTTAAAATTAGCCAATTAAATTTCAACAGCATTTCAAAAAATTTCGTTCACAGTTTTAAGTCGACTTATAAATAAGCCGAATTAGCCAAAAATAAAAATTATTCGGAAAACTATTTGAGGTTGTTTCAAATAACTTCTAGAGATTTAACCAGACCAGAAAAAAACACAAGAAGAGTTCACTTACAAGATATTCAGACGACAAAAATAAATCAAAAAATGACTTTTTTGTTTTATTTAAGCTTTGATTACTTCAATTAGGCAAAAATTAGAATGAAATTCCGACTCAACTTTCATCTCAATTTTGACTACATTCGGAGCTAGAAAAAAAAGGGAAACAACTGCTAAAAACAACACGACAAGACACTAGAAATCGTGTTTTTAGCAGCTGTTTCGCTACATCACTCAAAATGTAGAAATTATTATTTGAAATTGGTTGTTCTGAGATGAAAAAGAATTCTAAAAGTTTTTGGGGTCCACTCAACTCTGTGTTTTTCACTGGGATTTTAACTATATGTGTCTTGTACATAATACAATTTCAGAAAATAAAAAGAAAAATCCATGCTAAAAAGTTGAAAATCTCTAAATGCTAAGCGCTAAAAAGTTTTCGATATTATATAAATTTACTCGATGAATCAATAGAGTTGATTACAAAGAATTATCATTGCAGTTATTCACAGCTTTGCTTTGTCGAAAAAAAATTCCGAACCAAAACTTTCTCTTAGCAAAGAACAAACTCTCCTAACCAGTAGCGGATTTAGGGGAGGGGCGGACGATACCCCTCCTCAGGTATTCGACCCCTGCCGACCCAACGGGCCCCCTTTACGCTTTTTTGGCCTGTTTTTTCACAAAGATGCCTGCAGCGCAGAAAGTTTTGTCAAATTAGGGTCCTTATAGTGATTTGGGAGAACTCAGAAAATCATTTGGTCGACCTAAAAAAACAAAAGGTCGACAAAAGCTTCATTTTTTTTGAAAATCCGCCCCCCCCCCCCAGAGAAATTCCTAGATCCGCGCCTGCTCCTAACGGAGATTAAAATTACAATCTATAGACCTGAAGTCACACATTTATTCTCAATTGTTTTAGGACACGGGAGTTTTGAGAGCTTCCGTCATTGATTGATCAACTGTTCGTAACTGTTTTCAACTCACACATCTTAATTTTTTGAAGAAAAAAAATATTTCTGGACGTACGTAATTGTGACCTTACGAATTAATGAGACTGTTAAAGAAAATCGATGGTAAGTGCAATTACAGCAAAAAAAGGTTAGAAAACAGCAGTCTCACAAATTCACCAAAAGCTATTTTATTTTTTCCTTCAAAAAGTCAAAAACTACGTGCTTGCCTTTTTTGGAACTATAAGACGAATTAATCAAAAATTGTAACAAAAAGTTTATCAAAGACAAATAAATTTTCAAAAAATTTTTCCCTGTCTATTAGAAAAACATGCATGCCAATTGTCACACGTTAATGTATTCCTCTCCATATCAAAAAGATACGGGATATTCACTACTGATCCGTTGTTTTTGGATTTTATAATCATTCACTAAGTTCATTTTTTTCTATTTCTATGTGCATCTTTTTTACAGCTTTTACAAATGACTCATTTTTGCCGCCTCAGTTGAAAATTCGTAATGCGAAAACAGCTCAAAATGTTGGTTGTAATCTCAGTATGGATTTATGATGTTTGTTTTGTTCATTCAAAGTTAGTTTTTAGTCCGCTTTTTTCAGTTTCATGCAGTTTTTGATGCCAGATGGTATATGCAATAGAGATAGATATATGCAACATGTTGCCTTTTAGAGTTTGCAGTTTGTGCAGGCTGACTAACCTCAAAAAATAAATTAAATACACAAGAAGTGAAAAAAGAGGATTTAATAAAATACACTTTCCTTAGTAATAACTCACTGAAAATTTGCTAAATAACTTCGCATAGAAGTTCCATAAACCACCACAAAGGTCTCTCAGTTTCATACTTTTAACGTCATCTAAACCTACAAAATGGTTAGTTTTTTTAGCTATTTTATTTAACTAACTATAGACTGGGTAGAGCGTTGGGCGCAAGTATCAGCGTCCTGGAATTCATTTCATTTTCAGCGTCATGCAGTACATTTGAAACAGTTGTGTAAGCTAATAATTATCTTCGAATAAGCACGCAGTTTGTGTTATTTTAGGAACCTAAATAAAAAAATAAGATAAATTCAGCTCATTAAAAGAAGACGACGATGAATACTAGATGTAGATCTAATGCATATGCATTTCTAGGTTTTTTACTTGATCAAACTTATTCCTGTATCTTCCACAAAAATTCGAGGTCTTTACTGCTATGCGACCGAAAATTGTTGATTGAGTTTCCTTTTTTGGATAAAAATCTTAAATTTTTTCGAAGGAAAGTAATCTAAAATCATCATTTTCAAATATTTTGATCCAATTTTCAAAACAACAAAAAATCAGTTTTGGGCGCATAAAAGAAGAAATCCGAGATCCAATCGGGCTTTTTTATTAGTTTATGTTATTGCTTTTGTTTGTTTGTTTGTTTACTAGAGGGAAGTGATCTCAGTGCACGTGGGTCAAGCGGGAGGCCAGATGGGCAATGCGTGTTGGGAACTGTACTGTCTGGAACACGGAATACAGCCGGACGGCCAGATGCCCAGCGACAAAACCATCGGTCAGTGTCTTCTTTTACAATGAGCAACTGAAATAGTTGAACGGACAATTCAAAGGGACAAGTTTTACAAAGTAAAATGGTATAGTATCTGTAAAAAAATCTAATTCCCATTTTATGTCTAAAATTTTGGTAACATTATTTGGTCAAACTTTGAAATACCTTCATTTGTTTTTTTTTTTCATTAAATGAATGAGCATAGAAAAAAAACCAAATAAAATAATTGCTACGACATTCTATTGCTGAGTTTTTTTTTCTGCAACGATAAATTCGAAACGGCAAAAAATTAGTTTTTGGATCTCCCCTCGCATCCGCATATGCTTAACTATTGGTTTATTTCTTTATAGGGGTCGTTATTCTTTCTTAGGTGCACTTGTCTATAAGGGGGGGGGGGGGTGTGAATAAAGCGATCTTATTTTTTTTCCAAAAACGGTTTATTCCAACATTAGGGTGTGGGGATGACTCGTTCAACACGTTCTTCTCCGAGACCAGTTCGGGCAAGCATGTACCACGTGCCATCTTCGTGGACTTGGAACCCAGTGTGGTGGACATGGTGCGGACAGGGAAGTACAGACAACTGTTCCATCCGGAACAACTCATCAGTGGCAAGGAGGATGCGGCCAACAACTATGCCAGGGGTTGGTTTGTACACTTGTGATTGGCCATTCACGCACGAAAAAAACAGCTAAAAAAGGTGACAAGGCAAAAAAAAAGATGAAAAAAACCTATTTTGTATAGTTGTGATTGGCCATTTCCCAGTTCCCATTTGCGCAGAAAGAAAATTTAATTGGAGTGCAAAAGGAACTGAAAAAGTCTATAAAAATGGCAGATGATCGTTTTGTTCTATTGTATGGAGTACAGTTTGAAGGGCAATTTGAGAATTTAAAAAATACTTTTTGTCTATTTTTGCGACTTTTTCTAAAATAAAAGCACAAAAAAGGTTCTTTTGAAAAAATATATAAAATCTTTAATGACTTTTTGGAAATGGGCTCAAATTTGAAATGTCTAAAAATCTTAAGAAGTTTTTGGCAATCTTATCAAACCAATTATGACTTCTAAGTGTTCAGTTAATTTGTTCCAGGCCACTACACTGTGGGTAAGGAGTACGTAGACCAGACCATAGATAGGATCCGGAAGCTAGTGGACCAGTGCACTGGCCTGCAGGGCTTCCTCATCTTCCACTCTTTCGGAGGGGGGACCGGGAGTGGGTTCTCCTCCCTCCTCATGGAGAGGTTGTCGGTGGAGTATGGGAAGAAGTCCAAGTTGGAGTTCGCCGTCTACCCTGCGCCCAAAATATCCACTGCGGTTCGTCCAGTGGTTAACTCAAATTTAGGGTTTAAAAATGTAGTTGAATAAAAATTAGGGGCCAAGTTATCACCCTCCCAAGAAATTTGAGGTGGGTGGGGGGGTATTTTTTTTACTTCGCTCTAAGTTAGAACTTTGAATCAATGAGAATTGAACTTTTTACTCACAGCGCGTACCAAAAGTAATCTAAACTAAACGCGAGGTAAAGGAGGGGAACTCAGAAACAGAAATATGTGCACTAGTTATTTTTTAACGTTAATATTATGTGATTTTTGAAAAAAAAACGCTACTTTGCAGCATCAATGTTTCTGACAGAATCAAGTTTCAAATACTTCTTAAGAATGCAAAAAAAAACACCTTTTTTGTTTTATAATAAATTTTACATAGATTACAAAATGTTTAAGTATGGTATATTTTTCAAGTTTTTGAATCTATCCGAATTTAACAGTCGACCAATATTAATTGAGTTGAATGTGCCTGCCCTTTTTTTGAGAAAACTCTAAATCCGTCCCTTTTAGAATTATCCTGCCTATTTCTAGGTGGTGGAGCCCTACAACACAATCTTGACTGCCCACACTACCCTGGAGCACTCGGATTGTTGTTTTATGGTGGACAATGAGGCCATCTACGACATCTGCAGCAGAAACCTCGACATTCCCAGACCCACTTACACAAACCTCAACAGACTAGTTGGTGAGCTCTGACGGGAATAGGAGTAAAAATTAAAACAACTAAAAATGCAAAAACGATTCTCCTGAGGTGTTATTTCACAAATTAATTTAGTATAAATTTCTTTAAAATTTTTACGGTGGCAACCAGAAAAGCACTAGGTAGACAGTGGCGAAGTTTTCGCATTCACAACAAAAAGGTTTCAGATTCTTGGCCCACTATGATCCGTTCTCGTTGCTTGACGGCCAGGCAAACTCATTACGAGATCAAACTGTGTATTTGTGAAATTTGAGCGGCTTTTGCTACAGACTGAAAACAGATTTGTCGCGGAATTCACAACCTTGCTTCTTTTTTTATTATTATCTTTACTGTGTTTGGTTCCACGCACAAAGAGCTAAAACACTGTATTTCTCCAAAACGCTCCGAAAACAGACGATTTTGAGGAATCCGTAACAGCATTTGTGAAATCCCCACAAAATTTGCGGAATCCGCAACAAGTTTGCGGAATCCGGAACAGTTTGTCGAATCCACAAACAATTAATAAAGTATGTCTATGTTAAAAAGTTAGAATAAAACCGTCGATTGGTTTAATCTGTTAACTTAAACTAAGACTAGTTTAAGACTTGTTGGTTTAAGATCCCTAATATTTCGTTAGTAGGCTTTTATCAAAGACTAGATTAAAAGACTAAGGGATCTTTTTATAAGGTCGGAAAATTGTCTTGATATGTATGCTTTAAACTCACTTTGTAATGGTGTGTCTTGGTCCTGGTCTGATTTTCATTCCGATGCAAATTTTATTTGGTTGACGTCTGTCCCGATGGGAGATCTTTTCTGGGTTTTCCGTAACTCTGACCCATTGGGTGGTGGTTGTTTCTGAAATACTTCTATTCCCTGGTTCGGTAGTATGTCATTTCCGAGGAGATTTCTTTTTGCTCCTTTGGTAATGAATAGTTTTTGATCTGTAGCGTCCCAACCCTTCGATCGAATCCTCACCCGAACTCTTCCAATGATGTTTATTGTACTCCCGAAGCCCTGATATGCTTTCTTTGTGCTTTCGCCCAATGCTTCTATCTTTAAAAACCTATCTCGAATTTTCAATTCATGAAGTAGATATTTTTTTACAAATGAAACTGGGCTTGCTGAGTCAATCTGAATTTCGGTATGGTAAGGGTTGAAATTTCCCAGGATACCATCAGCGTCTTTTTTGGTTCTAGGCCTTCGTGATTGAATACGGTTCGCACTCCACGCTCAATCTTGTCTTCAACTGCTTTTATTTGATTATCCGTGTCCACCGCTAGAACTAAAAAATCATCCAAGTTGATTTCGAATTCGGGATTCTCTTGCTGTGCTGGCTAGCCCGGCTATTTTTTACTGTGAGATGTTTGGTTTCGTTCGACTACATTCGTTTGCGTTCTTGCAGTACTCCTGCAGTTTTTTGCAAAATGTCCCTTACGGCCGCACGTATTGCAGTTTCTATCTCTGGCTGGGCACGTAGTTAGATGTCCTTTCTTGAACTGCTGACCGCAGTTTCGACATTTGTTGTTTTCGACGATATTTAGGGTTGGTTCGTTCTTTACGTATTGTGGTCTTTGTACCGCATTATAGACAGGGATTTTTAGGTACTGTTGGTGAATTTTGGTACATTTCTCGTGGACAAATACATAAGATAGCACGTTTTCTGGGGTCAAGTATTCGATACTTAGTTTCTTCTGGATCTCAACGCTTCGCATGTTTGTAATAAAAATATCTCTGACTAATTCTCACTCGAGTTCTCCCAATTTACAATTTTTCGCCAACTCAGATAATGTTTCGTGGAATTTTTCAAAGACTCGTTTTCCTTCTGTCTTCGGCCAAAGAATTTATATCTCTCGTAAGTTAGGTTTGTAGTAACCGTAAAGTAGTTTTTAGTAATTCCCAGAATTCAGCAAAGTTAATGTTCAGTATTCATTTCCCAGGATTTTTGTGTGAGAAACTTTTCTGCTCTTCTCTTCCAAGTGCCAGGTATAATTGCGATTTCAATTTCTTGTCGATATCTCCGATTTGAAGTCCATTGAATTTTGCGTTATCTTCTGCTTTTCTCCTTCTCATCTCTTCGTTGTACTCTTGGATAGCTAGTCGGTGACGTTCGTCTTTTTCTGCCCGACGGGGTTGGTCATCGGAAAAATCCGTTGGTTCGGCTATTGGGTATGCGAGTTAGGGTCTTGCCAGGGCGTTGATTACGTCTTTAATGTCCACCGAATCTTTCAAGATAATTGTTAGCTGGAACTTTTCTGACCATTTTCCCAGTCGTGCTGGTTTTCACTCGATGTCTTGTTCCAAAAAAACTCTAGTCCTCGTAGGTTCGACTCATTTGACTGCGCCATGTTAAAAAATTAGGATAAAACCGTCGATTGGTTTAATCTATTAACTTAAACTAAGACTAGTTCAAGACTTGTTGGCTTAAGATCTTGTTGACAGTCTATAGTAAAAGTACGCTGTCGTGAAACCCGCGAATTGTAAACGGAATCTGCAAATTGTGAGCGTAATCCGCAAATTGTGAGCGGAATCCCCAATTGTGAGCGGAATTGGCCAACTGTAGGCGGAATCCGCAAATTATAACACAAATCAGCAAATTGTAAGCGGAATCCGCATATATGAGCGGAATTGACATAAATTTGCGGAATTCGCGTACATTTGCGGAATCTGAAACAAATAGCTCTAATATTTCGTTGCAGTAACCGCGACAAAACTAATGGGCCGACAAATTTTACAGACATTTCGTAAGTGGAATCCATTCACATTTTGGAACGTGCTTACAGACTTGTCTTTGATTTTCAGCATTTACAGTCATTAAATTGTGCGCCTATTCAGTGCACAGTTTGGCCTCCTAATGCTTACCCAGTTGTTAAAAAAACTGCATCTAATTTTTAACCAGGGGGCACAACAGAGCTTCTCCCAAAGAGCTGAAGAGCTGGTAAATTCGTACGTTTCCTCGTGGATTAATCGTTTTAATTAAAACTAATCTAAAACATGGAATGGCGTGAGAAATAAGCCACTGTACGGCATTTAAAAAAAAGCTAACTCGTCGCAAGAGTCAGTGAAAAAAAAGTGAAGCCGCATTGGAATCAACTTATAGTCATTGAATGATATCACAAGAAATTATTTTTAAGTGATTTTATTTTTATTAACAAGAACTCGCAATTCAATTCCCAAGAAAATACATCATAAAATTGATTTGTTTTAGCTCAGGTTGTGAGTTCAATTACCGCCTCCCTCCGATTCGACGGGGCCCTCAACGTGGACTTGACTGAGTTCCAGACCAATCTGGTCCCCTACCCTCGAATCCACTTCCCCCTGGCCAGCTATGCCCCTGTGATCTCGGCCGAGAAGGCCTACCACGAGCAGCACACGGTGTCCGAGTTGACCTCGGCCTGCTTCGATCCGTCTAACCAGCTGGTGAAGTGTGATCCACGACATGGTAAGGAACTAAATGATTTTGATAGCAGAGCCAAACTCTTTTCGTTTTGTCTTTAGAACGTCCAAAGGGGCTTTAAAATCAAAAATGAAACACAAAAATTTAAGTTAGTCTATTAATTGCCGAGCAATTTTGTAGGTTCCGTCTGAATTTAACTTGAATTTTTTTTCTGCACAAAAAACATCGTGATCTGTTGTCGTGCACGAACGGTTGTGTCATTCGACTGACCCTGGTACACAACTCTGAACGGAAACGAAAACAAGCCAGATTTGACTCGTTTTTAACATGGCTCCAGGTTCAAAACACTTTAAGTGGTATAACAGAAGGCAACGAAATGTAACCGTGGTAAAACTTCTAATTTTTCAAAAAATCGAAAAAATGACGATTCCTAAAATTTTCTTTTTCATTAGATAATTTTTTCGTCCATTTTCTCTGAGAAAATTGGATCAATACTGTGTCTCCTTGCAGGTACCTAATGATTTCTGATTTTTATTCCCTCTGACAATTGTTTTTTCTTGTCCAGTTTCAATAAAAAAAGTTGGACTAATATTACATTTCCAGGCAAGTACATGGCGTGTTGCATGCTGTACCGCGGGGATGTGGTGCCCAAAGATGTGAACAGTGCAATCAGTGCGATCAAACAGAAGACCCAGATCCAGTTTGTGGACTGGTGTCCCACTGGGTTCAAAGTCGGCATCAACTACCAGCCCCCCACTGTAGTGCCCGATGGGGATCTAGCTAAAGTACAGAGGTTTGTTTTAACTTGTATATGTCAAGTGGAGGATTCACAAACTAAATTCTAAAAAAAACTATCCAAAAAAAAGTTAGGATTTAGTTTTTTGACTAAGCTCTAGAAATTCTTTAATTTGCCATTTTTTGAGTTTTCTTGGAATAAATTTCTGCTCAGTACAATTTGATTTTCGAAGTAAACTGCAGCCAATTTTCTAAGGACGCACTGCGAAAAAAAGTGAAAAACATGAAGTTGCACTAAAATTTGACTGCCGTAAACTTTGAGTGAATAATGGCATGCTTTTTCAAGGTCAGTGTGTATGTTGAGCAACACGACTGCAGTAAGTGAGGCGTGGGCCAGAATCAACCAGAAGTTCGACCTCATGTATGCTAAGAGAGCATTCGTCCACTGGTACGTGGGGGAGGGTATGGAAGAGGGCGAGTTCAGCGAGGCCAGAGAGGATCTGGCTGCCCTGGAGAAGGACTACGAGGAGGTGGGGATAGACTCCAATGAGGATGACGATGAGGGGGGCGACGACGGGGGAGAGGGGGAGTTCTGAACAAGGGAGACTGAGTTATGGAAGATTATAAATAACTCAGATAATATAAAGTTATCCAATTATCAATTATTTTAAAATACGAGACTGTGATATATGATGTTAAATGGGTTCTTTAATCACCGAAAGTTCATTGCAGAATTGGAATTTTCAATCTGTTTTTTTTAAAAACAGAAACACAAAAAAGCAATAAATGAAAGAAAAATCGTTTGCTGGTACCTGATTTTTGTGACGAAAACTTTACAACGAGTACTTTCAAACATGAAGTTTCAAAACGCTTCTCCTGTTTACGGGGAGTTTTTGACTCTGAGAGGACCCTCTGGTTAAATGGCCAAACGGAACCTGAAACACACGTTTTTACGGGTTTTTATCCGGCTTTAGTCTAAGCCAAGTAGTTGCAGATAAATTAGCACAAACGTGTAAAACAGTTTTGTTCATTTCATCTCCTGAAAACTAAAAGTTGCAACTTCTATGTCCTGCGATTGAACCGATGAAGGTGGATTGGAACATCTAATTCAGGTGTATTAAATGTAATGATTTAGTATAGAAATGGGAATCTTAGTTAATAAAAGTGTTCCAGTTTTCTAGGAGAACAGATAAGTTTGTAAGATCTGTTTTTAGCGAAGGATTCTTATAACTTTTAGAATACAACTATCTTTTTCAACAAAATTATTACTAACCAAAGGTCCTCTTTTTAAACTAATCCACAACACTCAACTTTGATTATTTTGCTTTAATCAGGGCTGAAGGCAAAATCGGTTATTGCTGATAATATTTTTTTGTAGCAAACAAAATTTAAAATCCTATGTAGAAAAAGCGTTGCAGACAGTTTTGGCCTCATTAGTTTCTTTAAAAAGAGCTCAATTGATCGCTATGCTCGATCAAATGAAAAACAAACGCTCGTATCAGGAAAAAGCCCTGAATGTTCCGACTGCCTTTTAAGGTCTAGGGAGCAGCAATAACAAGAAAAAAAGTTGTGAAAATCATCCTCCCACGCACCATATAAAGTACAAGGTGATAGATTTTGGTCCTAGTAGAAAATAAAAAAAGGAAAAATAAGTTTGCTTCTACCGATTTAGAACAATTTCAATTAGGGATTCAATCTCCGCTTACATGGTAATAGTTTGAAAAAACTCGCGACGCGTGAACTGTCACAAATTTGCTAAAGTGGCAATCTTTAAACCACTATAAATTTATGAAAAATGATCACAAGTAAAATATCTTTTCAAATTTAAGCTCAAGACAACAGTACCTTTTGACTGATACAAAAAAAATCATCAAAATAGCTATTTAACAGTCGAAATTTGTCTGAATAAATAAACCACTCCGAGCACAACTATTTTGTAAATTTGGTTGCTAAATTTGGAACAATAAATGTAGCGCGTCAAGGGATATGGAAGCGGGCTTTTTTTCAGTTCTGGTTGCCAAATTTTTCCAAGTGGTCCTTTTTTTGTACAATTTTTGATTTCCATTTTCAGTTGAACGAATTTTTCTAAAGGTGCTTTTTGCATTTCCGACTTTTCAAGTAAATGGAAGATTTATGCTGGGCGTGGTTTTTTACTCAGTCAATTTTTGGCAATCGAATTAACATTTTTTAACAAAAAATTTTTATTTGCTCCATTAAACATATCAATTCCTCAAAACCATATTTGAAAATATATTTTCCCTCTGATCACTTTTTGCGAAGTTTTGGGAGTTTGAAAATTGCAAATTTGCTCTGGAATATTTTATGTGGGCTTTGAAGATTTAATCCATAATCCTGATATCGTTACACGAATTTTTTATGCGTGGCGAACTGTCCTGCACAACAAAATTGTTCCAAATTGAATTGAGGCTTGCTAATTTGTCATAATGATTTCGTACGATTCAAACTTTCACAATTGATCTTTGATGTTGTCCAAAATTTATAGTTTTTTATATTTTTCTCCCAAAAACTGTTAGGTATGGATTAAGGGGCAGTCGGAACATTCAGGGCTTTGCGCTGATTTACGAACAGCCTTGCATATACTATTTTTGATATCTGACAAAATTGAATCTAATAGTGTTTTTAAAAGATCGCAGAAATTCAGTTTGGTCTCACGAATCGTTGAATCAGCCATTAATTTTTCGCTATAAGACTTTGGCTCCCATGCATGGTCTGAATGTCTGACTTCATGAGTAATTTTTTTGCATTTCATTTCTAACCTTGTAAAACCACTCGTTATGTCATCAAAATGATGCTCGTTTGAATTAAGTGTGAAGATAGCGCAAGTTAGCCTTATGCTCCCAAAAACGTTATTGGAATTTGATTAATGAAACTTATTTCAAACTCTAGTTTCTCAAAAAAAACCGGCTCTCTTTCCTTCCCCCCCCCCACCTCACATAAGGGTCAATTTTAAGGTGTAACGAGGGGTTTTACAAGGTTGATTATGAAGACCAAAAACCAAAAATGTTTGTCACGGCTCAGATAGTTCGCATGCCAATTTTCGTAACATTCAGATAAAGTGAACAAAACTTCACGTGTAAAATTTTGCAGATGGGGGGGGAAGGAAAAAGAGCCAAAAACTCAACTCATGGAATTTACCAGCATGGAATTTGTCCATTATTCAAAAAGTCAAAAATTAGAAATCAACTGATATTGAAACCTGAACAAAATTGTTTGCATCAGTGAAAGGTTCTGAAGGTTTTGACTTCCTTTTAAGGTATATGCAATAGTTTAAAAAAACTTTAAAATGAAAATCTTCAAAACGAAGCCAAACTGTTAACTTTTGAAATTTAAGTGGATTCTGCGTCCAAGTTGGACAAGGCTTTGTCGTGGACCAATTATTAAGACAAGTTTTCTTTGATTTTTTTGCTTTTGTGGAATTCAGAGATATAGAGTAGCTCCACATGCTAGCTCCAGGCATAGATCTTTCTGAACTAAAGTTTTAAAATGACTCTGACCTTGAAAATTTAATTTTTCAGCGACGCTCATGGTTTTAATTAAGCGCAATTCAACCTTCTGTATTTCATTAGCAAAAACTTTTTCCTCACTTCTGTTGAAGATACATTTTTTTAAAGCATTGTTTTTAGGAACCCCCAAAGATTTTCTACCGGCTTAAGATCCGGAAACAATGGTACCCAGGGAAATGTTAGATTGTAGTTGTCAATGAGCCACTTTTCAACTTTTCAGGTGCGGATGCAAAACTGCCGCATTTTAGGAAGTATCAGTCTCCCTGAAACATTAAGTTTCAGTTGGAAACAAAAAAATCAAAAGCTACGTCTTTTTTCTGTCGCGGCTATTGTAAAAACATTAGATTTCTATAGAAGATAAACGACGACACTAGTAGGTGTTCGAATTTCGGGTTGAAAAATATTAAGTTTTACCTTGTTTTGTTTGAAGCAAAACGTTGTCCCACACAACTTTTTTTGCAGAAATGATAATTTCCTTTCATCGCTGATTTTACTCAGTTCAAACTTCTCCTAAAGTTCTCAGGCACAAAATGAAAAGTTTTTGTTATGGTTTTTGCCAGAAAACTTTTTGTGTTCCTGGCCAAAACTTAACGATGTTCTTGTGTATGTATTGATTTAGTCATCGAGAAAATCTCAATTTCAAAGATGGTATTTGTTTTATGAAACTGGAGGGCAGATAGGGTATCCTTTTCTAAAAATGTTTCAGTTCAACTTGCTACTTCTTTGTATGTTTGGCCATAAATTGCCCGTGCCATACTTTCAAAAAAAGTTCAACAGACAAATGGTAACAAAAAATTAGAGGTTTTGTACATCTGTTTTCCGATAAAAATTTGTTGATAATTTGTAGATAGTTACTTTCAAACCATAAACAGAGGTTTCCAAACTGTTTTTTTCACAGCATTGAGGTTAAAATCCGACAAAACTTAAATAACAATGTCTATGCCCAAAACGTTATTCAAAAAACTTGCTTTAACTCAGATATTCCGGCAAAATTTACATTACTTGGTACATATTTTTACAATCCGTATAGAAGTTGGATTCTACGTACAATTTTGTCGCCGGATTTCATTTCTTAAATGCTTAAGTCTGTGCTCCATTCTAGAACTTATTTTTTCTTTTATTTTATTTCATTTCGTTGTTAAACTTTCCACCAGTCTGGCAAAGTGCTTTATTGTTCCGACCATTGAAAATGGGGAGAAACTTTGTACTCGGGTGTGTTTTAGTTTTTTTTCGTTTTGTTTTTCACGCGAAATCAGATTTCACAAAAAATCATCGGACTGGGTTGAGTGGTTTATCATATCAGCGCCCTTACAGTCGGGATTTGATCCATAATTAAAAACTCCCAAAAAAAGAAAGACCGGTTTGAAATTTTTGATTTTATAATAGCTTAATTTAAAAAGTAAGAACTTAGTTTTACTTGAGAAACGTTAGTTTATATTGAGTAACTTATTAGCGCATTTTTGGATTCAATTTCAAAAAATCAAAAAAGCTTCAATACTTGATTTTTTGGATTTTTTTTTCTTTTTTTTTCAAGAAATTTTTCTGCAAAACTTGAATTTTTTTTGCTTGTTTTACTATGACTGTCAAAAATACCTTATTTGCAGTTTTGTTCAGCTCCTTTTATTACACCACGCCGAAAAAAAACGATAATGATTTGAAAAACTTTGCGATGTTTTTTTAAGACTATGGTCGGAACATTCTGTGCTACTTGCAGAGTTACCGGCTATTCTTGTTGATTTTTCTTATTAATTTTTTGGAAGCTGTATCAAATTAACCTGGATAGATTTGATTTGCTTCATTTGATGCACTTCAATAGTAAGCTGATAAATAGCGCACACTTTTATCTCAAATTGGCCGATTGGCTTTTTTCAATCACCCATAATTTTATAAAAATGGTTCCAACAATTTAATTATGAGTCAGCACGTGAATACTTTTTAGATGATATAACGAAAATTTGGAAGTTTTTTTGAAGGCTGTTAATTGAAAAACTTGGTCTGAAAGAAAACATCCCAATAGTAAATATTCCGTCACTTTCTAAAATTCGGAACAACAACGGTAGGCACACATGTTTATTATTAAACCCAGGAGCGGATCTAGGATTTTCTTGAGGGGGGGGGGGGGGGCGGATTTTCAAAAAAATTTCGAAAATTTCGTCGACTCCCCCCTTTTTTTTAGGTCGACCGAATTGATTTTTTGAGCTCTCCCTTAGCACGGTTTAGTCCCTGTTTTGGCCAAATTGTCTGCGCCGCAGGCAAAATTTTGAAAAAACAGTCCAAAAAAGGCGTTTTTAGGCACTACTTGGAAAATTTCGACAAAAAAATTGCGTTTTTTTGGCTCGCGCTCCCCACTCAAAATTAGTATATTATGGGTTTTATTAGTGTATATAAAAATTTAAAAAAAATTAGGGCTCTTTTCCAGTTTCCCCCCCCCCCCTTTCAAATTCAATTTTGAAAAGTCTATTTAACGTTGTCATAATGCAATGAAATTTGGCGTGGTGAACAAATCGACAATTCTGAACAGATTTGTTCTTCATACTTTACAGCGTAAAATCACGCATTTAGCCGTCATAACACGTAAAATAAACATAAAACTCGGTATTTTAAAAGGGATGGAACTGGAAAAGAGCCAAAATTAGGGTCGGTCGGCCAAAAATGGATTTCTTAAAAAGTACCAAAGCGGGGAACCTTTGGGTTGGCAGGGGGTCGAATCCCTGAAAGAAGGCGTCCGACCCCACCCCCCCCCCCTAAATCCGCCCCTGATTATATCCCCGTTTTTTCTAGAGAATTAAATTAAATGTAAGTATTTATACAGCATTTGGGAAAGATAAATTAAGTTCAACAAATTATTTTTGATTTTTAAGTGCTTTAAATTATTTTCATCATCATTTTATTTTTTAAGCAACATCAGCAGCTTAGCAGTTATTAAAAAAGCTACTCAGCAGTTTTTGACTTTTTCATCAACTTCCATATTCGTAATCGTAATCCTCGTCCTCACTCACAGCATGTCCGTTCGAATATCCATTCAACTCATCAGATGGCTCCAAATATTTCTGGTACAGAATTTTATTGGCTTCTTTAATCTGAGCTTCGGTCAAATTTTTGCCCTTGTTGGAAAACTCTTTGAGCTTTTTCGACTGATCTTTTTCCTGTTGAGTGACTTTGATTTGGGATCGGACTGATCGACTGCTTTTGACCCGACCATTGGTGTCGATGAATTTCTGGCTGAAGTTTTCCCGAACTCTTTTGGGTGTGGACTTTGATCTTTTTCTCTGTCGGTTTATGGAGTTGTTGATTCTGTTTCTGCGTTTGGCACCTTCAGATTTGAAATTTCGAGCAGCTGAAATTAATTAGATGTTTTAAATACAGAGTTAAAGTTTAAAAAGAGCTAAACTTCCGAGGTTTTCGCAAAAGTGGAGAAGGGATTTCTTAATTTTGTTAGCATGGTATTATTTTCTAATTGGTCTTGATTCGATTTCCAAAAACAAAAATTTTCTGTGCCGAGACAAAATGTTCTAAGCTTTTCTGGTTTTCAGGCTAAACTAAACATGAGCTAAATTACACGGCACATTTTTTAAAAGCTAATTTGGCATTTTTTTAGCCTACTTTTGCAGCATTTTAAAAAATTCCCTGTTTTAGAACTTCTACATCGCAATAACAGATAAAAACTGTTTTTGGAAAATTTTCGCCAGTTTTTGAATTCATTTAGAAATTTTCAGATAGTGGTTATAATTTACACTTTTCGAACAAAAAATTCCGAAACAAAAATTTAAATTTTTTCAATGATTCTCCCATTTATACGTAATAAAAGCGGTTTGAAATTATTGTGGAGATGATAAAAACTCAATTTTGACAAACGATGCCATATAGCTGCGAACGTGTTGTCTGTGGGGTTCAGGTACATATCGACAGAACTTCTAGTTCTCAGCAAATATGTAATTTTATAATAATAGTAGGTCTTTCATTATGCTCACATTGCAAAACAAGTGGTTTGGCTTTTGAGTTTCCGTTATGGTACTCTGCGTCAGCGGAGAAAATTTGAACTGGTTGTAATACAACACGTTTGAAAATAAACTTGCAAAAATATCTCAAAAAATTCCTATACTACAACCTTCTTCTAAGAAACGTCACTATCTTACAATTTTCTAATGAGAAAAAGTCCTTGTCTTGTAACATTTTTGGAGCCTAATTTTGTAAGAAGTTGTAAAATTCTTGTAAAAAGTTCGAAAATCAAAGCAATAAAACTTGAACAAGACTCTGAAAAGCCAAAAGCACTGAACCCTGTAGGTCTTTTGCGGTAAGAGGGCAAAATTTCCAAATCAGAGCTCTTTTTATAAAACTTAAAACAAATATCAAATATTGGCTTTGTTCAATGTAGCTTGCAGGTGTTTAATTTGGGCATGAAATCCGAACTGATTCAGTGACAAAAGGGGAAGATCTGGGATTTTCTCGAGGGAGGGAAGATTTAAAAAAAAAAATTACGAGGCCAACCTGTGCACTGAATAGGCGCCTAATTTGGTGTGTATGTTCCTGCATGCAACCCAGTGACAAGTCTTAGCACATTTCAGAATTTTTCCGGAACAATCAAAGAAAACGAAAGAACAACAACAGAACAAAGAGAGCGTCCTTTTTCGGAATCCGCGTACAATTCACAAAATACACAATTTGACCAGTTCGAATCTCTTGATTTTCTTTTTCTGAGCTCTCCCATATTTTTAAAAAGACCATATTTTGTCCAAAATTTTTGCGCCTTAGTCAAAAATTTGAAAACAACAGGCCAAAAAAAAGCGTATTTAGGTCTTTTTTTTTGGAAAAAACGTTGACCGAAAAAATTGCTTTTTTTGGCGCGCGCTCCCAATCCAAATTGGCGTGTATTGGCGCCAAATGCGCGCTTAGAAAAATTGTAGCGTTAGTCAGCCAGAAATGGATATCTCAAAATACTACAAAGGGGGACACTTTGAGTCGGCAGGGGGTCGAACCGCTGAGAGAACGGAGCGTCGCCCCCCGCCCCTAAATCCGCTACTGATTGAAAATAAAAAAAGCGTCCACCAAGCTCTTTGCATGTTTTTCACAAAGCGCTTGGACATAACCAATTACCATATGAAAAGTTACTCGATCTGGAACGCTTTGATAGCGCCAAAAAATGTCGGTAGAATATATCAGACGTGTTTTGATCTGGCAAAAAAATTTGTGTCCGATTTTTCTGCTTCTGAGTTCGGAATTAAATTGTAATTAAAATCGTAAAATGGGATTAACAATTTTTTTTTCTGAGTTTGTTGAAGCCATATTCTTGACGATAGCCAACAAGCAGTTGGAAAAGAGTCAATGAACTCAAGGAGTGTTCATTGAATTTCAAGAAAATGTTTTAATATCCGACAGTCTTAATGATAAATTTAATCCAAATAGGAAAGTTGTTTCAATAGGTACTTTTTAGATTCTGCGGGGAACAAAAAAAATTGTTCGAAGCTGAAAGTAATTTACATCTTTTTGCGCAATTTGCACGTTGGTTTTTGTAAAACAAAACTTGCCCTTTCATTAGAACATTAGTTTGGATAGAGAGGAAAGTTTTAGTTAGCCAAGCTACAGAAGAAAGATTGTTTTTGAAGCTGAAGGCACCCTACGTGAATTCTTTAGAAAAAAAACTTTGGAAATTTCCTTTCTAAGCAAAAGATTGCGACGTGGAGCATTTTCTGAGGTTTTTTGTAAAATGTTTCTGGAAACTGGGAATTATGGTTGAAGAGATTAATTACGTTTTGTTGTGATATTCAACTTTATGGAGAAAAAAAAAACACAATTAACATTCTGTTGGCACAATTGGCGGAATGATAACAAAAATGAAGTCTCTTCTCACCTTCGAGAAAAACTCGCACGACGTTCCATAATGTCTTTGGACTCCTGTTGAACCTCAGTCCCAGACTCCGTCTCCTCTCCGCCTCCTCCTCCTCGATCACACTCTTCTGGAATCGGAACTCATTGATGACCTTGAGGAACTCCCGACTGGGCTTCGGAACCCGGGAGGCAATAGGCTGCTGTCGCTCCATGCCCAGAACCTGCAACAGAAAACCACCGTTACAGAAGCATAGTTTAGAACATAACCCTTAAATGTAAATAGTCAAAAAACTTTCCATTGAAAATGATTAATTTCATAAATCATTGTTTAATATACATACGTAGTTTAAAAATAGTAAGAACAGGACGCGCAAATAACAAGGAATGTTTTTCCACAGTTTGCGTTGCAAGTTTCTTCTGATTTTTTTTTCGAATTTTGTATGTTGTGAGTAGATTTAAAATTTGGTCGAATGGATTTTTCAAATTTGATTGTACTTACCCCCCAAAAATTCTACCTCCTAACTAAATTTGGCAAGTTTCGACCAAAATATTGGTATATTTTTATTTAATTGCGCTCTTCCTCAAAATTAGTTTATATTTGCATCGAAATCAGTTTATATTTGCATCGAAAACAAAACTTATAGATTGGTTCGTCTAGAGGCGGATCTAGGAAAATGTTGTCGGCTTTTTTTTAGGTCGAGCAAAGCGAATTTCCGAGCTATACCAAAGCATTAAAAAGACCGTGTTTTGGTAAAATTTTGTGCGCCGCAGGCAAAAATATGAAAAACAGGCCAAATTTTAAGCACTTTTTGGAAAATTTTGACCAAAAAATTGCATTTTTTCGGAGCGCACTCCCCCCTCAAAAATAATATATGTTGGCGCCGAACGCGACTTTAGAAAAAATTAGGGTCTTTAGAAAAAATCAGCCAAAAATGGATATCTCAAAATAGTACAAAAGGGTGGACCCTTTAGGTCGGCAGGGGGTAGAAACGCTGAGAAAGAGAGGGGTCCGCCCCCGCACCCCCGCCCCCCTAAATCGGTCCCTGGGTTCATCTAAAAATATGTCGTTTTACAATTATTCTAAAAACTTACCGTGCAAGGTCTGGTCGTGTAGTTGGATTTGAACTCATTCGCAATAACATCAATATGTGATTTGACGAAGTGTGGAAGTTTAGTACGTATGGGCAACTCGATTGCTATCATGCCATAGTCGCGCAGCTCCTTCGAATCCTCGTCTTCGTTTCCGTGCTCGGCTATGTACTGTCCTCTGACACCCGAACGAATGGAGTCGGGTCCGACTATGATTGTGGACGCGAGAAGGGTTAGTTTTTGCTCAAGTGAATGAAAAGGGGAAACAGGGACGTTGTCAGCGTTGAAGTCTCTTCCAATTCCACTTGGCATGGAAAATTCCCGGTGTTCGGTTGAATACGTTTCAACCACCATCATTGTAAGCTCAACAATAATTGCAACAGAAATGAGTCTCAAAAAATACTTTCCGAAAACTACCTTTCGAAATTTATTATAGAAAATTAAATAAATAAAATACTCTTGAGACAGTTAAATTAGGATGATTAGTTTGTTCGAGGAATAACTTTCTGTGGTAGATTACAAAACGAAAATATATATATTTTTAAAAAGAATCCCGAGTTTTTTTTGGACTGTGTTGGCTAATTTATCTCTAGCAACAGTTACTATCCAACAATTGAAAAAGCTGAACAAACCAATTAGTTTCATAAATCATGGCGAGCTTAAGTTTACAAACAACTTGAAAAAATATAAACCAAAATATTATGAAGTTTGAACATATTACCATCAATCGGATTATTATGATTATTGTTTATACCAGACACTTTAAAACTCATCACGAAGTTATTACATGCAATTAAAGGCTCACCGGTGCATTTTTCAAAGTGTAATTATTTAGTGTGACGCGCTCTCCTAGACATATGACAACATAATGAAAAAACAATAAAAAGTCTGAATAAAAAAATCCAAGCTAGATAATTTGTTTTGATCAGGCTGATTTTTGTTTCTTTTTGTTTTAAACTTCGCGTGAACTAAGCTAAACTGGTGATCATAGCTGCTAAAAGAGTTTTTTTCATGCCTTTCTGCAGATAAAAAAAACTGCGAATCGTGAAATATGCTTTTTAAAACAAAACGCGACGTCGTTAATCATGAGTTTAAGTAGACTGCGAGATGTAATGGCCATGTCAATAAGACACCTTCTGTAAACTTCTCAGACATCAAAAAACAATTTTTCATTGTTTCGAATTTGTTGTAAGCTTAAAGATGTTTCATGAATGAACAGAAATGGCTGAAAAACGATTAACTTGTAAGATCATCAACAGGGAGCGGATCTACTTAACAATTACCCCCCCCCCCCCACACACTTTTTTAGGAAGGGGGGGGGGTAATTGTTAAGAAGATTAATATAACGCATTTTCGACCAATCAGATTGCAGCAAAATTAGAAGTCTCAATACAAAGCTCTAGCGCTAATTTACTGCGTTTATTAATAGGGGTGGCAATTCTTAAGTAGGTACCAAAGGGAGGGCAATTGTTAAGTAGATCCCACGGAGCGAAAATAAATAAATTTGTAAGGCGAAAAAAAGAGTCTTTAGTTTCTTTTGATGGCCCAAAAAAGTACGCGCAAAAACCCACAATCTTTGTCTTATAAACTCATTAACCAACATTTTCGCGCAGTTTTGCAACAGTCTTCGATTTGTATTTTCTACAAATCACGTTTTTGGCCAAATTTTTTTTATCGTAAGCCCCAGTTGTTAGGCCAAATTAACGCAAAAATATATCTTTTTTCCTACTTAATTCAGGAGCGAAAAAGTAAATAAATATATTTACTTTTTTCCGCTCCCTGATCATCAATCATCACCTCCTAGGGGCGGAGCATAGACAAATGCATAAAACTTTTGGGTAAAATTTGGAGGGGCTAATGGTCTCGTAGCGGTTTTGGAGATTATGGATTGATTTTTCATCATAAATGTTGTGTAATAAACATCGGGGAAAACCCGAGTTTTCGCAAAATAAATTGAAAAAATGAACTCAAGCAGAATTATCAGTCAAAACTGAAGTTGCGCCTACCCTCCTGAAGGTTGTATACGTTGAAGCTTGGCTGTGCTTTTGATATTTTGCATTATTTTGAATGTCTACTAATTAGAATGAACCAAACAGTATTTCAACGTCTACTTGTCCTTAAAAACTGTGCTTTAATCTAGCTCTTATTTTTTGCTAATTGCGCAAAAAAAAATTTATATAATGTTTAGGAAAAATTAGCTTGTTTTTCGTTCTGATTTTTGGGCAGTTGCAGCGCTGCTTCTCTATGGGCGATTAAACAGCATGGAACAAACAGTTTGCTCGTTTTGAGGATGATTTCAAGTTCAACTGTGCACATTATAAAGATATTGTTGGATAAAAAGGAAAGTTTCTACTATTCGGTGGATGATTTTTATCAGAATAAAATTATTTGAAACAGCTAAAAAAAAGCAGATAAAAAAGTGGGAAAGTTTTTTCTTTTCATAAAAGTTTTGAGCAAAATCTTGAATAAACTTGGTTGATCTGTGAAACATGCAAAAAAATTCTGCAACCTCCGTGAAATATTTCGACAGAGTTTTGAAGGAGAACAAGTCTACAGTATGAAGATTTAAAAAAGTATGTAAAAATGTTGCTTTTGAAGATGATCTTGAGCAAAAACTTTCAGGTCATTCAGCTCAAAATTAGTCTAATGGTTTTTTTGAACTGAATAATCTTAAATCAAGCTTCAGAAAAATACGAATGCAATTTGATTTTTAAAAAGCGCTAGAAATTTCTCTTAGTCGCCCGACTAATTTTCACATTAGAGTAGATTTAGCAACTTAAAAATAAGTTTGAGATTTATCTCAGAGAAGAGACATTAATTTCTGCATTCATCAAGTAGAATCGGAAAAAGGTAAATAAAATAGATTCATTTTGGAATAGCTTATATTGAACAAATTTGCTGAAAAGATTTTGTATGGATAATTCAAAAGTTCAACCTACAAATACAATCATTTTTAACATAGATTAATTGTTTCGAAAAAAACTACAAAATCTATCTCAAAAATCAAGAGAACTGCTATTGTCACAATTAGATCTCCTTCATTGCATATTCTTACGTCTGAGCAGAAGCCTGATTCGCATTAAAAATTTAAGGAAAAACTGAAAAGAAGTTGGAAACTGAAGAGTTTCAATTGAATATGCAAATTTTTTGGATCCTGAGAAGCAATGGGAAAGCTACGGCTGTCAATCAATAACCCAATTGTTTTCGTTCAAATTTTTTGTTTTCACCATCTCATCTAGAACACTAACCATAAATCCAACATTTTGTTTGTTTTTAAAACAATTTATAAGTCTAAAACAACTTCTTTTTTAGTCCAAAAAATTAAAAAGATTCACCTTGGACAATTCTCTTACTCAAATGCTTTTGTAACTTGAGTAGATTCTTACCATTCTGTTTGAAGATTGCTTAAATAAACTGCAGTGAATGAAAACAAAACTTCACGCGTCTGAATTGCTTTCTTCTTGCTAGTTTCATAGTTATTTAGACAGTTTTTTCTTTCACTTGCATTTTTGCCTTTTCTCCAATATTTAAAAAAAATTGCTTTCTTTCGATTATTTTTATTTGTCTCTGCTCAAAAAAATGTTCATCAATTTTCACTCCAGATTTTTTTTTGGGGGGGGGGGGGGTGTTTGTTGATACTAATTTTGGAGATCAATATAATAGATTTTGGTGCCAGGAGGAATTTCGTTTTAGGGTGCAATTTGGATTTTTTGTACTTATAAGTTTTTCATTAAACCACAATATCTAGTGCCCATCTATTGCCGGATTAGGTCAAGAAATAAATCATTTTGAGCATTTTTCAATCTTGAAGTGAAAACAAATTTAGAAATCAACAAATATTGTCGCGGTGTCGGGAAAAACCGTAATGAAAACTTTGAATTTTTGTCCAATTTCGAGCAACTGAAACGATTAAGTTACATTCGTTATAAGGATTATCTTTGGTCATTAATAATAAACAAAACATGATTTCAATAAAAAAATTATTCATCTTAATTTAAAGCTTCCATGAGAATACATTTGTTTAAATTTAAAAAAAAAACTTTTTTATTTGAAGTATTTTTTTCTATTCATTCGTTTAATTGTCATATCACACCACGTACAAGAAAAGAAACTATTTCGAAAAAAAACGAAAAAAAAATTTTTTTTCTGTAATTTTTTATGAAATTGTTGGGAACACTCTGAGCTACTTGTGCATTAAACGGCTATCCTTGTTCCAATTTATATTGAGACAAGGTAAATCGTTCCGTTTTTTTACTGTAGAAAAGACAAAAACTAATAAGGATTCGTAAAACGATATAGTCATAATCTTCACTCAACTGTAGGTCGGATTGTAAAATTTAGACTCTAATATATAGGTCAGAATAAGCCTGACAGAGTTAGATACAGATTGACTGGCAGGTACCTGCTAACACCTTACAGTGATTGATTAAATTCTCACGAATCTGAACAACAACTTAAATGATTGTCATTCAATTAACAACCAATAAGAATGGCTGAAAAATTTAATTGCTTAGTAACCTATTTTTAATTTAAAAGATTAGCAAGGTTTTGGACTGCCTTGATTTTAGCCATTCCTCTCCCTGGACTAATTAGTGTTTGAAACCAATTTTTATCCCCTTTGGGTTTTTTCGTTTTTTCCTGGCCCCTGGGATTCTCTTTCGTTGGCTTATTATGCACAGTACTTTTCCAGTTTGGACAGCTCCTCCTTGGCGTTTTCCTTCATTTATAAAACTTCTTGCACTTTTAACAAAAAAATGTCCGCCGGTTTATTAGAAGCAATAATTTCTAGATTAAAAATCTCAGGTAATGATGTGACTTTCCTAACTTTTTTGCAATCACGTGGAATAATAGACATAACTCTTTGATTGCGATTTATTGCGGAAAATCATTCGCCAGGAAGTTTGAAAGGAATTGACAATAAGGTATTGTTTTTGGAGATTTTGAACTTTTCACCTGTAAAAGTTTGATTTCAACATTACTAATTGTTTTTTATCACTAGTATAGAGAATCGAGTCCAGTCTTACTGGGGATTTTGGCTTAGAACTTCTTTCATTTACCGGAAAAACAAACAGTCAGAATTTTGGTCCATTTTTTTAAGTTTTGGCAAATTTTTTTTTTCGAATCAAGAGGACCTCCAGGGGAACGGTATTTTGCGCACGCTAATTGTCCCTTGGATCCAGTTGATCATGCGGTATGCAAGTTTCTCGATCGTGATTGCTTGTTGTCTCGCGTATGACTTTCCGCTCTCAGCCGTTAGTTTAAATAGTTATGTTGTTTGTTATCGATTTTGATTGCCTGAGCCGCTTTTAACTTGACAATTTTAAGAGCATTTTGAGTTGTGTTACCAAAGGGTGGATTTTTTGATTGAAACCATGGGTTTTTCTAATTGCTCTGATTTTGGCTACCGTGAACATACTATCGTATCGACTAAGTGGTTTTGGGGACTGCTTAAGTGTCTTTACAAATGATTGGGTAAACCGACTTTTGCTCACGGCTTATGTCTTATAACAAAATCGAAGTATATCAGTCTGTCAAGCCACCTGGTTAATTTTGAAAAAAAAAAGTTTTTATTCTTTTTGTTATTTCAGTTAAGTAATGAAACTAAGGCTTTATGATCCTTGTTTTATAGTAAAGGGTATTTCTAGGATGTAATTATGAAAATACTCCCCCCTCCGCCACACAAAACACACACAACTGCTAACATTTCTAGCTC